AAATACAGCGGTAAAACTAAGAAAGCTATTTTTTCACAGGACATGTAGGAAAAATTCGATTGCGGAAAACCATAAAATTCTGATGCCGCTCAACATATCTTGGAGAAGAGCTGTAAAATAAATGAAAACCGTTTGAAATTATGGAGGTCGATACATGAAAATAGCAAAGTGTGGCACGAGAACTATGAAGAGTGACAAAGGCCCCATTTCAAACAGTCCATAAACAATAAAAAAAAAATGAAAGGAATTCATTGAATATGAAAAATCACAAATTCTAAATGAATATTTGAATTAATATCGAGGGCAATATTGAATTCTTGATAATACTCAGAAATAAGACTTATGAAAGTTTCAAACCCACCCATGAACAATTAAAAAAAAATAAGAAATTGATAGGTTCAAAGCAGGGGAAATTCATTTTTAGCTTCAACCTTCAACTAGAAAATACTTTGAAAAAATTGTCGATTTGCAGTTATTTACGCTGTACCTACCGCAAGGCATTGAAACTGGCTTCATAACTTGATAAATTAAAAAAAGTTATACTGTTATCTATACAGTTGAAACAGTTTTAAAAAAACGAAACACGTGTCTTTACATAACTCAGTAAAGACACGCCCGAAGAAGCCGTTGTATGGCGAAACACGTGTTCCGTTTTTGTATAACTGTTTAGTGAAAATCTCACAATAAAGTATTTTTTGAATACGTTAGTTATGGATTTTCATCAAGTATCGGCCAATTACGTCATATAAAAAATGTTTCCGCTGATCTCAATGAAGCAACTGCTATGTGACATATTTGCACAGAATTACGTAAGAGATTTGAGATAATGAAATGTTGTTCGTTTGTCTGTTTTTTATTGTCTGTGCTCTGTGCTGCTCAAATGATTTTAGTGAGGTTTTCATTAATGGGTTGTGATGGAGCTCCGATTAAGATTTAGGGATACTGTTCAGTTGACTAACCTGAAACTTCACGTAACTATGTTTATAGTTTATGAAACGATATTTCCATAAATCAAAGCATGACATGACAACTTTCTGCTGTTAGGAAATCTGGAAAAACCAAAAAACTGAACAATATATATTGAGCTGTTTGGTTTCTCATTTATTTTTATATTTCAACAGTTTATTTTCTTGTTTAAATTGAAAAGGTTATATTTTTAGGAGAGGTTGATTTCTGGAAAAAAAAGTTTTTGGCTTTCTACTTCTCCATCGTGATACAAAAAATATGGGAATATTTCAGAGAAAGGAAGAAAGCAATCAATTTCAAAAAAGTAACTCTATACAAATGTGTATAGATCAAGCAAATAATTAACTTTCAGCACAAGCTGGAAAAAAACCCACTCGAAACAACTTCTTTCATATAAACATTGAATTACACGAAAGAAAAATACTTTCGAAACAAATACTTTTATATAAACAGTGAATTATATACAAAACATTTTTCTCTACTCAGTTTATATTCCAAAAATTCATTATGGAATTGAATCAGATATCATTCACAGGATTCCTACACAATATACTAAATGAAAGAGCTAAAATTTCACTTACATGGAACACATTATTCCTCACTGGTAGACATCTGATGTTTCGTAGACATTTATCTTATCAGCTCTTCAGTATCAAATGTGAATAATATTATAAGAAAAAACATTAATTTCATACATAAAGTTACGACTTATTTCAATGTTTCCACCTTTATTTATTGAAATACTTTATTTGATATAATGTTTCCCGGTAGAAAGCATATCAAAATATTCAATGTAGGAAAATATCATTTTTACTTTATTCGATTTGAGGTTGTACTACCAAAAAACTGCACAAATTAGGTGAAAGTGTAAGCTTATCCGTTAGAGATAGATGCTCGGTCGGGGGCCAGGCGGTTCGACGCGGGTGCTTTGTTCACTCACTCGAATTGACTGCCGTGTTGGTCGGTGGTTCAAGCCCTAGTCTGAATGATCGATTTTCACTTGCTATCGTCCAACCCGTGTTAGAAATCACACGTAAAGGTGAGACCTCGTTAATCCTTAGCTCGCACAAGTTTCACAATGACCACTCCCCACACCATGGGGTAAGTGATCATTGGGTCCGAGAATCATGTGCCCTGAGCAAGCGCAGTGAGCCAAGAATGAATTATTATTATTATTTTTATTATTTCTGTTTGATTTAATGTTAATTTGTTTGAAAGTAGTTGTTTCGGATGGACTTTTGCTTCCATTCTGATTATTAAACAAACTTCTGTATATGATCTGAATATCTTTGTAAAGAGTTTTCATTAAAGTTATTCACTTTTTTTCTTGGGATTCATACACATTTTTTTCCATGAACGAAGTTTTGCTAAACTCTTGATATTTTGTGTGAAACGCTTTTCTATGCATCAAAAGACATTTTTTGCCGTTCAACATGATGTTTTATTAATGCCAGTGCCATCCGTGCAAGATTCACAATAAATTATTTCAAAAAGTATCAGTATTTCATTTTGAGTATAAATTATTGTTAAAATCCTCTTTTCTGAGCAAATCTCGTGTACCTATTGATATCCTTTGATGTACAAAAAAATAAATTGTATTCATTTGCACTTCGGGAAAAGTAATTCATGTTTATTTAAAAATAATTTAGGCATTTGAGGGAATTTTCAGACTGTGAAATATGCATGCGTCTGTTATTCCTCTCGTGTACCCTTTCAAAAATGCTAAAATCAGAAGGGAAAGCGAAATAAAAATACTAAACACTAAATTCAATGAACATATAACATTATGAGCAATGATGATATCTGTCTGATTTTAAACATGATTAAGAAAGAACTCCTATTGTTCCCAAATTATTTGAATACTCACCCTCTGTACCTTTTTAGGGTGATGCTTTTAAAATTTCCAGAAATGTCTGTTTCCTAGGGAAACTTTTTTCAAATAGCCCCTTTAGCGTACATTGATCTCCAAAAAATACTTCGTCACCATTGTAACGTGTACTGAATACTAGAGAATAATCAGAAGCTAACAGATAAAAGAGTAAACCTTAAAACCTGCAACTTTTAATGTGTAGTCATCGTGGGCAACGCTTAATTTGGCTCACCCACAAGTCGCAGAAGAATGTTTAGATCAGATAGGAGTACATGCCTCCATCGTCAGTTCTAAGGAAAACGAGATGCAATGATAGCTGCACTACAGTTCAAATCTGCTATGAAGACATTACCTGAAGTGAAGAGAAGACATTGCAGAAACAAGCCAATAAATGCCATATTATTACTAAAGTGAGACATTCAGAAAAGAAAAGCGGATGTCCTGGAGTAGAACGTTTTCACATTAGTTGAAACAAAAACACACACAATCGATCACAAAGAACTTTGGGTTGGAAATTATTACGAAACAAAATCCATAATTGGAAAAGTTGGTACGAATGCAAAGAGGTTCAATATAGAATATCCTAGCCGAAATTATGGATGAGTGAATCCACGGTCTCAAACATTACGGAACATTAAGGTGGGGATTCAAAGAAAAAAAACGTTTCTTTGAGCTATTTGACGCATATCCGACTACTTCATTAATGATGAAACAGCAGAGCATATACTTTATGCCTGTCCCGCTTGGGACCGAAGTTTAGACAAAGCTTGTTCATATCGACTCTAGAACCATAATTGTATTTTTCAAGTGGGAAATTTATTTTACTCTGTGTTCTTCAAAGCGACTTGGAAATTAAATCTTCTAGAATTCTAGAATTTTTCAGAACACGAATTTTTTTTCAAAATGGGAATGAAATTAATTGAAACTCACTTCTGCCGCTTCTGAGAATGATGACATTTCAATGTCAGAAATAGCTATCAAATATAATCTTAGAGAAACTCAAACAATCAGTTATTTTAATTTCAATTATATACATTTTTTGAAGCATCTCAATCTAATATGTTTCTCAGTTTGAAAGGTCAGTTCTTATCTAGTATTATTTTTTCGTAAGATATATTTAAAAAAGGAAAACATATATCACTGGCAGAGGCTAAAGATCATCAATGTGGATAAGATAAAGTTGAAAGTTTTTATCGAGCGACATTGTCTTACAAATATTCAGAAGTAGTGGACTAGTAGTACAGTTTTTCGTCGGGATATTGAAATCTAAAGAATGATCCTTGATGTGTTACAATTATCAAATTCAACCTCTGTAATGTCTACATTTGCCCAATGTAGATTATCTGACAAGAAACTTTTATTTTTGTTAATTTTTAATATGCCTAAAATTTCATTAGTTTCATTGGCCTTCATTTTTTTAATAACTTTTGAATATTTTTAGCAAAAAGTACTTTCAAAACAGCTATCTTTATATGAACATCGAATTATAAGAAAATCACTTTTTCGTATTCATTTCACTGATATATGGGTCACTATCATCCTCAATGGTGGACTTCGGAGTTTCTGAATAGGACATTTTTCTGGATAACATTACAAAAATTCATTTATTCATAATATTACAACTTTATTATTTTTCAGAAGTGACAAATTTGCTCTCGATGACATATTTTAATGAGTAATGTTCCTATGAATGATATCTATTCAATTCCATTACAAATGTACAAACTGAATACGAAAAGGTAATTTTCCTATAATTTAATGCTCATATGAAGATAGCTGGTTCGAAAGTACTTTTTTTTCGTGTATTCAATGTTCATGTATGATTAGGTCGTTGTTTGAGTCTGAAAGTGACTTCTATGCATGATCTATACGTCTTTGTAAAGAGTTTATTTTAAACAGATGGCTTTCTTCTTTCTCCAGGAAGTTTCCTACTATGTCTGTATACGAATGAGAAAATAACTATCACTTAGAGTAAAGTATTTCTGAATTAGTAAGTAGTAGTATTTTTGAGTTGTGTGTATTTGGATAAAATAAAAAAATCCGCAGACATAACATTTTTTTATTGGAGCCTACGCATAATATTCAAAAAAATCTGGAATATATCAATCCAATACATTAATTTCCACTTCTCAGTAATCATAAGGTACATCAAATCTCCTTTCAGTCAGTAGCTCCAGATGGCATTTTACTTCCAAGACACGTATTATTGCATTGCGGAATCCCCATTGAGAAGCCAGCGTTTGCAGTCAATAGATTGTGTGGATCAGGATTTCAAGCGATTGTGAATGGAGTCCAAGTAAGTAAACTACAGGTTCGCATACCTTATTGAAAATTCCCTCAAATTGATAACTTACAACTATATAAAGGAAAATTGGATATTTCATGAATTATTATCGTAATGTATAAATGTAATGATCTAGCGACACGCATCAAGCGATTGTAAATGGAGTAAGTAAACCACAGGTTCGCATACCTTATTGAAAATAGCCTCATATTGATAACTTATAACTATATAAAGGAAAATTGAATATTTTATAAACGATTATCGTAATAAGTAGGAGTTATGTCGTTTCAGCGAGACAGACGTCATCACACCAGTCAGGTTGCCTCTCAGCTCGCCATACAAGGCAGACAGACCACTCAGTCAACCAGAGTGCACCAAATTGTCACGTGGTGTCCTGTCACGCAGCTCGCCAGCTAATCAGAACGCAGGCTTCTGCATTGAGATGCCGCCACGATGTTCTGAGGAACATCGTGGCGGGAGATTTTTGAATTTTCTGTGGACATAAACAATTTAGGCAGACAGACGACCAGGCGTATCCCTCAAAGATACAGACCATCCAGTCACGTGGCGCGCTTTCATCAGCCCATCTTTTCGTCCAACACATTTTTGTTTCATGACGTCATGAAAAAAAGTTTTCGTTGAAGAATTGAACACAGGTCGTTGGTATGATAGACTTGATCGTTAGCCTCGACACCACCATTAAATATTGAAAGTAATTGCGAATTGTTGATAGTGATGGCTTTGGTCATTGCTTTTCGAATTGCTTTTACATTTGAATTATGATCCCTGTTCAGCTGATAAAACATATTTAGTTTTGTACGAGTCGGACGCGCTTATGAAAACAAAATCGGGTATACAGGGTGTTGTTCCAAAACACATCAACCAAAACGAAAAAAAACATGGTTGATATGAGTTTATTTGGAAGATAGTGTGTTGTGAATTAGAACAAATGTGGGGAGGGTTATGAAAAGTAAGTATGAGAGATAATGGAGCGGAATGCTGCAGGTTTATTCAGTCGCAGACCTAAGACAGAGATATCAACTGTATTCCAAGCGGAAATTTACGCTATTGAATTGTATGCGAAGAGATTGGAAGAATCCAACCTCATACACAATTGATTGAAAATTTATCGGACAGTTAAGCGGTATTGGAAGCTCGTGGCTTCTACCGAGCAACGTATAAATTGCCAAAAACAGCTCCCCTCGATAGGAAGACTTAACAGATTGTCTCTTGTCTGGCCATACTGGTCTGGAAGGTAATAAGACTGTTGACTTCCTTGCAAATGAGGGTTTGCAAACAGCTTTATAGGAGCAGAACCTGCCATTGGCATCGCTTTAGGCTTTGCCAAACAAAAATTGAACACCTCGATAGCAAGACTTTTGGGTTTTTCGTTTTCGTGTCGGGGTCCTACGTTTTAACGTGCGACCTTTTGTACACACACACCTTTTGTACACATTTTGTACAAACATTTGAAGAGATTTTTCGCCTAATCGTTTTGTCGTACGATAAATGAAAGAAGTAGATCACCAAAGTCGATTCTATTACACCAGCCAATGAGAGCGTAACAATTTGTTAAGTGACCAGTTTGTTCAGTTGGTCACGCGTACGGCAGATAATCGAGCAGCATTATCGCGGTTTGAAAGATAACGATTCGAGCGTGCTTGGAATAATATGTAAACGAATTGTTGTATATTAATATACACCTTGTATATTAATACAAGGTGTGTGTGATGTTAAAGAAAAAAATATGGCTGCCAGGATTGAAGAACAAAATATGGCGGCAATGTTACGGGCATTGAGTGGAGTATACAGGGGTGTGTCAAAATATATAATTTAAGTAAAAACGACGTGACAGTTTAACGGAGCTGTAATATTTCAACGCGCGATTTCCCTATGTGTATACAGGATGTTTCAAAATACATCATTTAAGAAAAAAAACACAGCCGACGTCAAAGTATACAAGGTGTTTGCAGCGTTATAGAAAAAAACATGGCGTTCAGCGTTGAAGAAAAAACATGGCTGGCATTAAAGTATACAGGGTGTGCAGCGTGGCGGACATTGAGTGGAATATACAGCGTTAAAGAAAAAACATGGCTGCCAACATGCAAGAAAAAAACATCCAAGTTGGGATCATCAGGAGATGACGGAGAAAAAACATAGATGGCGCGTGCAACATTCTGTACGATTCATCGAAAAATCAACACTTCCGGTTTATAAAAATTGAAAAAGAAGTATCGTGTAGACTCCAAATCTACAAAAAAAATGATCACTTCCGGTCGTTGGATTTCGATAATTTCGACATCAATGGATTCCTCTCGATGTAAAGAAACATAATTAAGCATTTGCAGAAGTGTTGATCGCATAGGAGGCTAACTTTGTTATTATTGAAGATGGCAGGGGGTTGTCGGTATTCTAAGGTCACAATTTCTACTAAAGAACACGAAAATTATAAGTATGTAGCATGGATTTTCCATCATTTAGGTTGTTGATTATAAAGTATCGAATATCTGCATTTCGGATGTTGTAATTATATTTGACTTGGTTGTGCAAATGTTAGGTGGTAATAGGGGAGAGTGGAAGGACGAAAACACGCGGCATTGAAGGTTATGAAGGAATTTCGTGCAACGGGTTTGGTTTCATTATCATTATCAGGTGGTGAAGTTTGCTAAAAGAAAGGAACGAAACATTTTAAATATTTATTTTACATTTTCATTTTGGTAATATATTATAAAGCCATTTGTAGAAAATATCTGCATTTCGGAGACTGCAATTATATTTGTTCGGTTGTGAATGTGGTGCATACAGTGTAAGACACCTTCGTTGTTGTTGCCGAATGTGGGAACCATCCACGATGTATTGTCATACTCCTCCAAATTCACAACGCTTGTAGGTATATCCAACTCGTGAAATTTCGAAATTAGATAGTCACGTTTTTAATGTCCTCGCACATAAACAATATCGATATCGTGTAGATTTTCCATGAGGATGGTATCCAATTGATTATATTCCACAAAGCCGGAGGAATACCTCAATACATGAACGTTTCGCAACAGGTAACAGGCGGACGACGATCTTCTTTACTCAAACAGGAAAATGGTTCGTTTGGCAGCAATATAAAGTTACTACACTTATTTCCAATCCTAATGGATATCTCTTTAGGATGGAATTGCTGCTCTATGATGAAATCTTGAATATCTACAGAAGCTATTCTCATTTTAACTTTGCAATTGATACTGAAGCAAAATCACATCTTCAGTTCCATTTCTTGATATTTTCGCTGAGTGGGAGGTGCTCGATGACAGTGTCGTGCACAATGATGAAGGCTAGTGTACTTTGTGGGAATGCCTCAGATTTCAAGTTTTATATCAACACTGGAACTTTTGATGATTTCCTCTCTTCTGGAACAATTGATGACGAAGAGAGATTTTTGTGTAAAATCTGCGGTATTGATGAGAGGGTTGTGTTGATTCGTCATTTTGTAGCTGAGATCGAATTGTGCGTAGTTAAAATATACTTGCAAAAAATCATTTTTCCCAAAATTCAGATGCATATTTTCTTTGGGGTGATTTTCACCGTTCAGAGTTAACGTTATATTGGTGATATTTGAATGGTTGAATTGCGTTGGATCATTGTTGTTTTGGAAGCATACAATCACATAGCGAGGGCTTTCGAGAAACGAGGAAGTCTTGACGGCCCATATTTCATTTTTGCACCTTGTGTGAGAGCAGGCAGCATATGGACTTCCCATTTTCTGAACAGTATGAGAATAGGAGTGTCGACTTGGATAGCTTTTAAAAGTTGCAATTTGATTTGATCATGAGGGAATATTCGTTCAACTTTCAGTTCGATATTTTCAATTTATAGCTCAACTTCAGTCTTTGATGCTACTGTATCAGCAGTCTCATTTATTCTGAAACATCATCAATTGAATCATCTCCAGCTCGTACTAATCGGATGGTGTGTTTACCATAGGAAACATAATCATTGAAAACATTCAAGAAATGTTCAATGGGTATGAGTAGGTTGAACGTTAAAGATGCTGTTTGAATGATGCCGAAGCTCTTGGGGTATGTTCATCCTGAGATTGCCAAGTATTTGATATCTTCATCGGGGTAGGTGAGGAAGCCTCTGGCAGTACTAACAATTCCAACTTCACCAACTGCTTCCAATTCTTTACCATTCTGTTCATAGGTAGCAGATTGAAACATGAAACCACCAGCATTGTTTACAAAGGTTACCCGACCATCTCCCTTCATCCTCTAAACTTTTCCGCTGATGAATAGCAGGCTATCGTACAAAGCATCATAGGCATCGGATTGATTAATGTTGATTTCAATGACGTCATTATTGCGAAAAGATTTGACATACGGATAGTAGCTCCGGGGTTCTACTTTTCGTATGGATTCATCATTTTGTGGTTTTCGGAAAATGTTGAACACTTGATTGGACAACATGATTGCCAAGAGATTCCAAAAATAATGAATTCTTCGTTGACAGTTGTTGACGCTGTTTGAAGGACTTGACGAACACTGACGGGGAGGGTTTGGTAATAAGTTTGAATCTGTTTTCCCGTTAATCAGCTGTCGCCCCCATTTGTATATCGTATGAGACGGTGTGTCGTTGTAGAAAGCTTCAAACGTAATGTTGCTATCTATGTTCATGGTACGTACTTTGATGATATCGACAGGTTGATCGAATGCGTAATGCAAGTTGGGCTTGAGAAGGGTCGACGAAAAAAAACTCAAAATGTGAGCCAATCTATTTGCAGGTCGGAAATCAATAGAGTGTTTCAAACAAAATATTCCACTCTTTAGCCTACGTTTTAGGTAAAATATATTTGCTGACTAAAGCTTCAATATCACCAATTTCTTTAGAATCAGAAGGGATTTCACTAGTTCGGACTTCCATTGTCTACTATATTTTTACTTGTTTTACTTGTTTTACTTGTTTCAGGGATTTCAAATCATTTTATATAGTAGACAATGGAAGTCCGAACTAGTGAAACTCATCAC